TTGAAGTCCAGATTTAAAGACCACGAAGGCTGAGCCTACTTGGTTGTTGATCTTTGATCCATCCGTGAAGATTTCTATTCCCTGATTAGAGGGAGGATTATTATACCATTTAATTTCTTCGTATCTTGAAGGATGATCTTGAATTTTTGAAACGTATTGTTCTATGGCCGATGATGAAATCATTTCGCCTTCTATCGTAATAGGTTCACCGTAGTGAAATAAGCGGTATAGTTTAGATTCTAAGTCCGCCTTTAGGTCTATAGGAAGTGTGCCAACCATAACTTGAAGCGCCATAGTTGGGGTTGTAGAGAACGCCTTTGTTATTTTAAGTAATACAATCCTTTGGATTTGTATGAGTTTTGCACGAGCTCTAACGGAACCACTATAATGCCACCAAACGGGACTTCCATATAAAATGAGTCGTTCGATTGCTCTAAGATAGAGCTGTTTCCATATTTTACTTTTTAGGTCCCATGAATGTGTCATCATTCTTGTGAGATGATTTACAAGAGTTTGCGTTTTATCTCTTATGTCCGTTAGGTGGGCGATCCAGGTTAGTTTACAATCTAGGATAAAGCCCAGATATTTCAGAGTTCTTTCATTTTTAATCGTTGTGTTCTTCCATTTAACCCTTGGTGGGTTGGAGAGGAGTCGTGCAGTTTTGGGAAATGTTATCATTTTCGTTTTCGAAGCACTGAAGCTCAATTTAAATTGTTCGCTCCATGTTTCCATTATGCGCAAGGCGTGGTTTGCTTTTCTTTCAATTTCACTACGATTGCCACCATTCACAATTAGGATAAAGTCATCAGCATACGCTTGAAGTAGAACATCATTACCCAAGTTTAAATCTAGGGCAGTATTTGCCACTATATTCCATAAAATGGGTCCTAAATTGGACCCTTGTGGAGCTCCTTTTGAGTAGAATCTTTGAAGATTAACTCCATCTCTATTGTATATAATATGTCTGTCTTTAAGGTAGCTATCCAGGAGATTTAATAGTAGGTTGTTTGGGCATTTTATAGTGACCAAAGTAGCCAGGATCCCTGGCCACCACAAATTATTAAACGCAGATTGCACATCCAAAGATATGACACAGGTGTGTCGATTCTGCGACGAGTTCGCTTTTGAATAATTTTTACTAGGTTTTCTAGGGCATCAACAGTTCCTTTACCCGGAGTGAATCCGTATTGGTATTTGTGTAGCTTATTTTGCGCTTGTAGAAAGTAAGTTAGTCTTTGCGCCAAACAGTTTATCTAGTACTTTACCCCATGTTGAAAGGAGACAAATTGGGCGATATGCCTTAGGATCTTTACGATCTTTGCCACTTTTTGGAAAGAGTACTAGGCTAGCTCTTTTCCATGGGGTAGGAAAGTGTCCCAATTTTAAACAAGAATTCAGAACATTTACAAACTGTTCTTTATTTGCAAGAAACAATTCTTGGACTAGGTCTAGAGTCAGATTATCTAAGCCCGGTGCCTTTTCCTTTATTTGCATTTTTGAGTACTTGTAGTACTTCGTCTTCCGTAAAGTTAACGTCATTCTTTGGATTGGGACGTGACTTGGCAAGTCTTCTCATATTTTTGTGATGATCATTATCTTCTGAAGGATCATCTATTGGAAAGTGATGTTCCATGATATAAGCAATTGTTTCTTCAAGATTGGTGGTTAGAGTGCCATCTTGTCTTTGAACACAACAAAATTGGAGAGAAGAAATATTATTGCCTTTTGCAATCTTATAAAAGGTCCCAAATGGAGAACTGGGAGAGAGACTTTCCCAGAAGTCATTCCAACATGCCATTTTAGCTTCATATTTCTCTTATATTTGGCTTCCGCCTTTTTATAAATAATTCTTCGTTGTTTACGTTCTTCCGTGTCCCAAGTTATCCTTTGGTACCTTCTCCGCAGGGCTTTTACCTGCTTCCTTTGGATTGATAAGCTCATATTCCACCATGGTTTTGGCGGTTTTCTTACTCTGATATTTGTCTTAGAAAGATCCGAGGTTTGGTAAACTTTCTGAATAATTTCTGTAGTCTTTTCAATGCAATTATCTAGATCTTTTGCAGTCTTAGGGGATAAAATCGAGTTTATATCTTGTGAGAGACTTTCTTTGAATTTGAGCCAGTTAGTGAATTTAAGATTAGGTCGAGTTCTTGTATACATGGAACTAATCGTATCAGAAATATTGATTGAAATTTTTCTATGATCACTAAGAGTAAGTTCATCATGCACCGTCCATTCTGAAATCGATAAGCCTGAGGCTAGTTTTGCGATCGTAACATCGACCCAGGATTCACTTCTGTTTGCTAAACAAGTAGCTATGCTCTTAGAGTCGTTACATACAAATGAGTCTGTAGCTATAAGAAAGTCACATAGTTGTAGGCCTCTGGGATCGGAGAAGCCCGGACCCCATAACTGATGTTTTGCGTTAAAGTCTCCCATAAGGATAACAGAATAGCTAGCATATCGAGAATATATCATTTGTAGGTCCATTAGAATATCC